ACCAAAAAGTTATGACCACGACCCCCGACCTTCGCACTGTCCTGGCGCGCGCCGAGCAAACACCGCGATGCGACCAGACAATGCCAGACGGCCCGCCGTTACGCACGGGCAAAGCATAGTTCCAATCCCGCTCCACACAACGGGATAAGTGTCCACGCATTATCACTGTTAATACCGCGGTACCAGACAAAGTCTGGCAATGGCCAATCCCGCTCCAAACAACACGGCAACACGGACCATGCGTGCATGATATCACTCAGTTCATCAAAATGACCATGAATTCTCGGATCATCCGATTTGAATCCAATGGCTTCGAAGAATGTTAAGATCATGGCAAGAGGTAGGGAGTCCACAGGTTTTGGCCGTATATCTGTAACCACGCAAAATTAGTCAATATCAAACCGTGCTTATACATGTAATAAGTATCAACATGGCTCTAAAATACAAAAAGTATCCTGGTACCACGAGGAATACTGAATCGTATTATTAACACATTCATTCAGAACTTTGCATTCATTTGGATGGAAAAACGAATTCCGAAATCGCGCTTTCCATATCGACCATTTGCGCCAAACATTACCGTGTGAGCCGGAACTTTCATTTAAATCACCGTGTAAAAATAAAATCCACTTGATAAATCGTAATTGTTTTTATCATATCTTTATGAAAACAAATGGTACGGACTAGTACACTCGATCGTACCCAGAAAGTTCAGACTTTTACTGAAACAGTGGCCTATAAAAAGAAATGATCAAGCTTGCCGCACCTTGCCGAAATTCATTTTTAAAGGTCGGGGTACAGAGGCGAAACGTGAAAATTTTGTACAACACTGCAACCAGACTAGTCTACTACCAAATGTTATTGTACGCAAATGGGATTGGTGCCAGACTTATGTAGTCTGGCACGCGGTAACAGTAATAACGCTTGCACGCACGTGGAAAGCTGAAGCGCAGGCTAGGCGAAGATGCTACGTACGTGGGTACGTTCAATGCAACCATTTCCAGTTCATTTGTGCGTACATTGTATATGCGTTCGTTTCACGGAACCCACTGCGGCAGAATCTCGAGGGTTTGATACGGTAAAAAATTGAAATTAATTAGAATAGAAAACACATCAAAATGGGCGGCCTCGAGCCGGCCTCGACCGATTCGCCGAGGCCGGAAGGCTCCGAGGCCGAGGCCAAGGCCGAGGCCTTGCACCTCCGAGGCCAAGGCCGAGTCCGAGGCCATGAAAATCGGCCTCGAGGCCGGCCTCGAGGCCGAGGCCGGCCTCGAGACCTCCAACACTGATATATGCTGATGTACCAGTACTTGTACATGTATGGAGTTGTTGCAGAAAATCAAATCATAAAGTTGCTGCCATCAGCATTCATGGACAATAGAGAAAGATACGAATTCTGTGAAGCCATTCCAGAAGCAAATTAAGTCAAAAATGAGATGGCAGAAAGTACCGGTACTTTGGGGCACTTTCATTCAATTTACATGTGTAAGACATGTGAGGTGCAATCTTTGAAAATTATGCCCAAGTTAACAATTTCAGTTTGGATGTTTATAAATTAATTGTTACTACTCTAAATCATTGTAATTTGATTTCAAACATTGATTTTAGAGTTCAATTAAAGCAACACCTAACTGAAGCCATCAGTACTACCGGTAGATGTTTTTACCTTAAATGTACATGTAGGCTGGTTGCCCCCCCCCCCCCCACCCTTTAGGTAAACCACTGAACCTACCGGTATTATTATTAAAAGTTGTTGGTGAACATGTAACCAATATACTCAAGAGTTGAAATACTGTGTATTTAAACTTTTAAGGATTGAGGTGATGGGTTTGAAGTCCATTTCTGTAGTTGTCTTGTGTTCGTGAATTATGTGTTTTGGGTTGTTTTCGTTTTTCTTTTGTTATCATTAATTAGCAGGCTTCTATCTTTATCTCAATAGTTTCTTGGGTATAATTATTTATGCCAGGTCTGCATATTGTTGATTTCACATTCAGTTACACATTTCAGCAATTTGTTTCACTTGTATAATTAGTGTAAATTCACATTTTGTTCATGCTGTAATTGAATAAATCTTTTGTCCTTCCGTTACCGTCCTTCCGTTACCAAATCATAATCTGCTTAAAACTTTGTAATTATATTACCGAAACACTTAAAGTCAAATGAAAGGCGGTATAGTATAGATAAAGCTTCAGGGATTCCATTTCTTACCTTTAAAATATAATTGCCCCATAAAATTCAGAGTTTACGCAAAACGCGAGTAAGTTGAAAAACCCTTGTCCGTTTTACCGTCCTTCCGTTACCGACCTCATTAATATTCATAATTCAAAAACGGGAGGCATTCTTTCCCCCTCAAAAGTGTGGAAAATGAAAGTAGCATTATAGCAATACAATTGTGACATTTGTTTGCTGTAACTATGAACAGTGTCTGTGATACACACATTTGAAATTTTGTTTAATGAGTGAAAACGTCCTTCCGTTACCGTGGAATTGCCCTATGGTAGTATGGACGTACATCATGTACACATACAAACACGTACGTGAAGCAGGGGCCGGGACACGAACACGACCAGTGCCGAAAAACAAACTCCGCATGCAGATCGGGGGACGCGCCTACGACTGTATTCTTGTACCGCGCCTTGTCGTGAAACAAGGGTCGAGTCGAGTCGAGTCATTAGGTCAAGAAGGTCGAGTCGAGTCACAGTGTGTAGTCTAGTCGAGTGGAGTCATTTAGCTCGAGCGAGTCAATTCCAGTCACGAATATTTGAACACTATACAACAAATAAAGACGAGAGAAAGTCAATTGTATTCACTTAGTGAAACTTCTGTCTTATAGGCTATTTGAAATGACTTCGGAACTAGTATTGTTTTCCTTTGATAAAAGGTCATGACCCACAAAACATGAAATCCAGGATTTGTTTAATTTATTTTTGAGGTCTTAGGAGCCAGCAGCTAGAAGACAAAAAATACAAAAGCAAAACAAAACAAAAACTAGAGATCTATGTCTGTTTGCAACAGAACATAGGGCTTTTCTGCATTATGATTTTTGTTATCAATAATACGTCCCTGACTATACATGAACATAAAATCTGTCAAAGTTAGCCGAAAATCGGCTAAAACGGTCACTGTGGACAGGATTTGACCTCGCAACACGTGCGCTGCGGGCTGACTGACATACGATGTATGTGCGTATGTACTACGTACGTGCATGTGCTATACACATTGTGGAAGTCCTGTACAATATTTTAAAGCTCTCTACCGCAACTTGCGCAAGGGTATTTTTTGCCGACGTCGCGTCAACTGTGTGAACAATTTGACAAGCTGGGAACTTGGCACTGTTGAGGCAAATGTTTACGCTATCATTTAATGGGCAATTCAAGATTATATCTGTACGGATTGATTTGTTAGAAATTTTTGAAAAAGGAAAGGTCTTTTCAACGGAACTTCCGGTCTGATGTAGTCATACGCCTATAACTTCGCACAAGTATTAAGTGGGTCAAGGTCATCATATACACTAATATTTAGGCGATTCTGAAAAACTTCGCCACAGACATCTATTCAAAATACATTTTTGAAAATTTTCAACCTGTCGCTAGAGGGCACTCGAAGATTGCATGACGTCATCGGTAGATGATTTGAAAAATACTATCAGCCAAGAGACTAACACCGTTAAAAGCAAGTTCATATCTATTACCATTTTCAAATAATAAGCCACTTCCGGTTTTAGCCTTTTTCGTCCGGAAGCAAGGGTCACGTGATTTCACGCACACTGAATGAAATAAAGACCTCAACCTACTCTACCACTCGCCGGCAACAGAATGCTGCGGACGCGTACGGTTGATTTCTTATGCATTTTTAAATATTAAAAGTGTCACAATTTACTTGCCCATAAATAAACACCGGATGACGCCATCATGACGTCATCATTACACAATGTTGTTTGAATTAGGGTCTTTGCTTGGACAAAGATTGGTGTAAATGACTTACTGGCGAAGAGTCAAAAATGCCCTTTGAAAATCGACAACTTTTTTTAAATTTCTGTGTACAAAGTCTATGGGAAAATTTAAATATTCAAAAATCTATAATAAATTAGTCGATGACGTCATGATAACGTCGCTCGTCCGCATACATCTATGCTGTATGGACTATGCCTATGCAAGCTTTGAACGATATGCAACAAAGTTTAATGGCAAAAGTGGCGTGTAGAATAAACATTTACAAAGTCTATGGGCTTTTGGGGAAAAAGAAGAGGAAGAAGAAGAAAGAAAAAAAATCAGAACAAAAAGAAAGGCTTTTCCGCAACAATGCGGAAAAGCCAAACAACGGCGTTGCTGTTGAAACCCCTCAGCCAGAGTCAAGTTATCATCCGGAAACCATTAACCTTTTAACTCAACATGGTGACCTTGACCTTTAACCCCAGAACCAATCCAACATGCCTGTACCAATGGGCAACCCGGGCCTACCGAACTTAGACATCAACATTTCATTTCTAACTCAAGTTATTGTCCGGAAACCATTTACCTTTAACTCACCATGGTGACCTTGACCTTTGACCCCAAAACCAATCCTTACTTGTTTACTCCCAAGGACAACCCCCTACCTAAGTTAGACACCAAAATCTCATTTCTAACTCAAGTTATTATCCGGAAACAATTTACCTTTAACTCACCACCGTGACCTTGACCGTTGACCTTTTGACCCCAAAACCAATCCCAACTTGACTACTCCTAAGGGCAACCCCCAGCCTCGTGCCCCGTGGGTACGATCTTGCAGCGCCATGTTGTTTCCCATCATGCCTTGCGCGATCGTAACCCCTTGAATTGTGTAATTTAAATGTACCAAAATATGGTACATTATAATTAGGGCTGCAGTTTATCCGTTTTACATGCCGAAGCCATATTTAAAATGTTAAAAGTTGTGATTTTGAAAAATCAATACTTTCAAACACAACGGCCAAAATGAAAAGCAAATAAACATTGGTCATTATTCCTTGCCAACCCTACCTTTGTAAATTCCACACTAGCTGGATCCCCTATCACCGATCCATCAGGCTGCTGGTAGCCAGCATACTTGATCAAGAGGATGTTCCAGACACGGAAATCGTGCTGACCATCCGTGCGTTGAGGAAAAACAGTGATAGCAGACCTGTTAAAACATTAACGATTACAAGACAAAACAAAAAATACACAATTAAAGGCATTGACAGTGATCTTGACACTTAACAATTCAATGACAACAATGTGAACAAGAACTGAGAAAAATAATAAGGTAAATATCTCATTAAAAAATATCTAAAATACTGAAAAGGTATAGTTATAATGTGCACCATTGCAGGGAACAATACAAAAGGTCTGAAGCAGGTTATTGAAAAAACTATAACCTGTCGAAATTTCTGCTCAATAGATGTCACACTTTTTGAGAAAACTGTTCAAATGTAACGGGATTATACACTTACCACCAACTGTATTTTCTTATGTGTACTTTATAGTAATGACATAGGGCTTGAATTGGGCATGCTGGGATATAATCAAAGATGGCAGATATTATTAGGCCAAATAAAAAAAAAACATGTTTAGCGTTCCGCCTTTCATTTTTTAAGATGGCTGCCAGGTGGTTTCTTTTAATAGCCGCCATTGGACTCGGGAAATGACATACCAGCTTTATATGGGCTAGATGCAACAGACAAAAGGGCCAAAATGATGTCACTGTTTAAACTTTGTAATTTTTTTCTGTTTAAAAAAAAATAAAAGAGGCGGCGACCTCCAAAAGGAAGTGGGAGGGGACGCTAAACATGTTTGTTTGTTTTTTATCTGGCCTTATGATGTTTATGTGATTTCTAATCAGTCTAAATCAGAACCGAATAACCAGCTGATCATTTTCTTCTTAATCCAAATTCGCCCTATAGGCCTAGTTTGAACCTCGACTATTATAACTTGTAATCAAAAAAGTTACAAAAATGGCGTTGTCGGCAGGATTATGCCAACATTCGGGTGATTGAAATGAATCATTTCTGAGCTTCAGAAATCCAACGTGATCACGCTGTCGCTGTGCTGGTGAAGGGCGTGAGTAAACAAATGCTGCAAAAGATATAGCGGTAGAAAATATAACCTGAACTTATCCTTGATCCCTTCTTGTGTTCTATAAATCTGGTATTGCTGTGTGTAAAATTGTTGCTACACCAAGGACTGGTGAACTTTGAACAGTTGAACTTATGAGTTTTGTCTGAACATCACAACCTAGTCTGCTACTGCTAGTATATCAATTCTTATGTCAGGCTAATACAAAATGAAAATGGATCGAGCAATATAATTACATTGATTCACATCAGAGTATATTAATCAGATGTGTATGTTGAATCATATCGACAACGCAGAACTGAAAACAAAACAGGACAGGATCAAAACTCTCTGCACGCTTCCTCAAATGAAGGTACCAGTGGATGATCACCCCCATCAGTTGCGGTTATGCCAGCGCAGTCCGATCTGGGGCAAATCCTTCAGAAACTGGAGGAACTACGCAGAACTGAGACAGAAGCAACTAAGACACCGGTTGCATCTATTCTTGTGGACCAGAGTTACCGGACTTCCACAAATTATCGTCAGATGATGACATCATGTGCTATCTGCCTTTGAGAGGATGGCTAAAGCAGGGAAAAAACCTGAGGAGGACTGGCCGCACCTGATCGAGCCATACCTAACTGGCGAGGCGCAAAAGGCGTTCTACGCCCTGAAAGAGGATAAGAGGGACTTTCAAAAGATCGTCGACATTATCTTTTGCCATTACTAGCTGACCCCTGAGGTCTACCAGGTCAAATTTAGAGCTGCAACAAAGGATCCTCAAGAAACGTTCAAAGAATTTGCAACGAGACTTGAGTTGTACTTCGATGGTTGAAATCCAGGGAGAAGACAACCGTGACTGCAGACATCAAGAGGATATTCGAACTCCTTCAGATCGACCAATTCAATCAGAAATGACAATTTCCGCCTGATATAGCCCGTAAAAAACTCTTGGCAGTAGTGCTGACGAACATGCATTAAAATGCTGCATGGAAGCCACCAACACCAGCTTCCCCCAAGGCAATCGTCGACGCCTCAACCAAGCGGTACAGATTGATGACCAACCCTAAACCCGACAACATCAACCCAGTGCCCCCTGCCCCCCCCAAAAAAAGCGGCACCCCCACAGCGCCAAGAAGAACGGAAGGATTTGAGTTGATATGCTACAAGTGCAGTCACCTGGGCTGAAAGGCTGAGCAGAGGCTAAGCAAGCCAAGCCTGCGAACACTCCGAAACCTCTGGACAGTACAATGGTGAGTTTCAGCTACCTCCCTCATGCAGTGAAGAACAAAGCAACGAAAGAGCTTTGATAGACCCAGGTTGGTCAATTCCACTTGTCAGTCGAGGCTTAATTGTGTCACTCCCTGAGCTTGAACACTGCTGTGGAACCAACCATCGGTCCACTGGTCAGTGTATTGGAACTGAATTCCACACAACCGGTTCTTACACTGGAATTGTGGGAGTAGCAGGCACAGACATTCCCATCGTTCTCCATCAAGTAGATGAGTTTCCAGCCCCACTTCTCCTCGGGATAGACTTTGCAATGCTGTCCAAACGTGGAATGGACTTCAGCAGTTAAGTCATACTGGTTGCAGCCTGAGGGTGATGGATGCAACGTGTCTGAAGTGGCCGCTCTTTGGTCTATCATATTATCAAGATTCCCCAACTTGTGATCATGTAGAAGATAATGGTATCCCTAATGCAGAAAATCACTGCGTCGTTCATCCAGTCTTCAGCACAGATAACAACTTTCCCCTGACGTTCTCATTACAAAGCCTGGTTGAACCAATGTCGCCATACACCACATCAACACTGGCGATTCCCCACCTGTTCGCAACCCGGTCTATCGTCTGTCTCCTGACCAATCTCAGTTACTGCAGAAGCAGCTCGATGAGATGTTGGCAGATGGCCAGATTGAACCCTCATCTTCACATGGTCATCTCCTGTAGTGACGGTACCGAAGAAGACAAAGGGCGAGTACCGTTTGTGTATTGACTTCAGAGAACTGAATAACATCACCAAACAGGACACCTAGCTACCCAATGCCGACAGTGGACAGCATCCTCAAATCACTTCACGGAGCCACAGTTTTCAGTTCTTTGGACTTGAAAAGCGATTACCATCAAATGGTTCTGAATGAAGCCGACAAGGAGAAGACCGCCTTTGCATGTGAAGAAGGACTTTTTCAGTTGACAGTCCTGTCTTTTGTACGTGTAGTCAATGGACCTGCCAGTTTCCAGCGGCTTATGGAGATTTTACTGCGTTGTCTGATCTGTAGGATACGCTATGTGTATCTGGGCGATATTGTCATATACTCTGAGTCACTCAGCCAACAGATGACAGATCTTCGTCAAATCTTACAGCGACTACAATAGTCTGGTCTGAAAGTCAACAGGCAGAAATGTGTGTTTGGAACGACTTCCAGGAAGTACCTTGGTCATGTCGTTGCTAGTGATGGCTTGCACACAGATCCACACAAGGAGGAGGCCATAGTTACCCAGCTGCAGACAACCTGAAGTGCCTTGAGAGATTCCTGGGCATGGTGACATGGTACGCCAATATCATACCAAATCGCTGACGTGGCTGCACCACTTAACCAACTGCAGCATAAGGTTGAGTGGGACCGGACAGATGAGTGTGACATCTTTCATGCAGATGAAGTCTATCCTCGCTTCCGAATCAGTGCTAGCCTACCCAGACCTGTCGAGACCCCTGGTCGTCCATCCTGATGCCAGTGACTCTGGTCTGGGGGCTGTCCCCCTGCAGGAGATTGACAGGAACTTACGCGCCATCATTTATGTGAGCCAATCCCGAATGGTCCTGAATGCAATTACAGCACTATGGAGAAAGAATGCTTAGCGGTGGCGAGTCTACCTCGAGGGGAGCCATTTCCAAGTTGTCATTTATCATCAGGCCCTCACTTGGCTCTTCAAGAAGGCTTGACTTACTGGCAAGTTCACATGCTGGGTGCTGAGGTTACAGGCATGCTCCTTCGATGTAACCTACTGTCCTGGTGTAATCCATCTGGTCCACGACGCCTGTCTCGATTTGTCGTACGAAGGCCTTAACCACAAGCCACAGCTGACACATCAATAGCCGACACATCACAATCTGGCCCTACCATGATGATTGACCCCTCACACAATGACAGCAAGAGCAAAATGAGACATGCTGCTCCACGGTGTGAGTGCCCACAGACAAAACTAATTGACTGGATCCAATGTGACGGCTGTGATAAATGGTTTCACATGCTGTGCGTCCAAGTCCGGAAGAAAGAAGCTCAAAAGATGCCTATACATTTGGGCGTCCTCAGTGCAAGAAGCAGCGCTGGCAGACAAGAGATGGAATGGCAGACTACGTCGCATACACCACATGCAGAAGCTGACCAGTGTGATGAGCCTGTGCATGCATGACAAAACACAACTACAGACGGAGAAGGAAGAGATCCCACCTTGGCCAATGTGCCGTCTGGTTCGCCCGTCTACCGCCAGCAGAACGATGAACAAATTCTTCATCACTATCATCAGGGGAAATGAAATTTCGGTAGTGCCCAAATCCCTACAACGAGCTATACTGCAGGCATGCCACTGCAAACCATTGCTGGTCATTTGGGAAGACATTGCAATGCATCAACAGTTTACAGTTCTGGTGGAGTGGAGTTGCTAATGATGTTCAAAGCTTTGTTCAAGCATGCCAGCCCTGTCGGGAAACAAAGCCAGTTTTTTGGAAGCCTGCTGATTTCATGTTGTCGACCAATTAACTCAGAGAGTCCTTGGGAAGTTCTTGGTGTTGAGTTGATGGTGCCTCTTCCCCAAAGCTATGCCTGACATGGATATGTCCTTGTTGCAGCCGAGCACTATTCAAAGTGGGTTGAGGCAATCCCCATTCACAGAGCTACTGGAAAGGAGATTGCCAGCGTACTTGTGAGACAGCTGTTGTTTGTATGGCGAACCAAAGAAATTGCTTTCAGATAATGGTGCACAGTTCACCTGTTGGGCAATGGAAGCTTTATGCACTGAGTGGGGAGTCCAACAGACTTTTATTTCACCCTACTATCCCCAAAGCAACTGTGGGTGGAACAAGTACATCGCAAACTCAAAGGCATCCGCGCATTCGTGGGTGATGACCATCGCTCATGGGATGTCCATCTGGCAGAGTTCACGTTCATGATGAATTCTGCTCACCACGAGACGATCAGGGTCGAACCCTCTTTGCTCATGTTAGGTAGGAAGATGACAACTCCACTTATTAACAAGTGGAACACACCGACCCAGGCCGACACCGCCACAACTGAAGCAGTGCTCAAGACGCGTGGAAGCATGCATACATGTACATCGTGCCCATGCCAAATGCAAAAAAAACCCACTATGACAAGCACCGACGACCTCCAGACATCACTGAGACATGTGATTGGTCCGCAACCACCCAAAATCGAGTGACATAGAATTATTAGATATAGCTTTAACACAAGAGTAATTTTGGGTATATTGTGACATTGAAAATGTATTTGTAATTGTAGGATGCCCTGCCCTGTCCATATTTTGTAGCAGTCATGATAGCATTCACATAGCATTCATCATACATGTAGCATGCAATATAGCATTCACATAGCATTCATTCACATAGCATGCAATAGCATGCACATGCTATCCCATAGCATTCCAGTTGCATGCTATGAAAGCATTCCTAATGGTTAAATAATTCGGCTTCCTGACATGCTATCGGACTGCTATCGGACTGCTATACCTCAATGAATGCTATATGAGAATGCTATTGGAGATAGCATTCATTCATAGCATTCACATGCTATGCAGCATGCTATGAAAACTGCTATTGGACAGCAGTCATGTTCGGTAAGGGGTATACATATACCACAGTCCTATCTAGCGCAGGGGGAGTGAAACGGCATTACACACTTGCCCTGTGCTTCCACTTTCTGTGTACTTTATAATAACGTAGGCTTAAATGGGGCATGCTGTGATACAATCAAAGATGGCAGATATTATTCAACCTATTTTCTAACAAAATTTGAAATGTTTCTCAGTTCCAGATTCCTGTGTTTTTCAACATATTGTGGCGGAATTGGCCGCTGGCGGCGCTATGCAGTGACCTAGTTTTGGCAGCTATTTTGGGTCGCCTGAATGCACAGGGCGTGATCACTGCATGATCATCTCATGTACATGAGCCAGGTGGGCTTACTTGGCGCGGTTACAAGTCAGTTCACGTCTGGCGGTCTCATGGAGAGGATCTGTATGCGATAAACAGTGCCTTTTATTTAGAACCTTTAGAAAATCAGGTTAGTACAGAACCAAGTGATTTGTTAGAGTACAAGAGAGTATAGAATAAACCAATCATCAAAACCAAAGAGAACAGTTCATTGTCCCTTTATTTTTGTGCTGAATAAATAAAAAGAAATTGACGTTCCCCAGAAGACCTTTAGCGCTCGAGTCATGCGTTACATTGGTGGCTAGCGTCGGGATTTTTCTGTTGTATTTTTCTGTTGACGATATATTTTTTGGTCTGATTGGTTTTTCAAGCCTGTTTCGGATTTGTATTCGACAGTGGTGTAAACCGAGCCGACAGTTTCCATAGATTTTGTTCAATCTTGTGCTAGTGGTGTAGACCGAGGCACTTTGACTGCAAAGACGAGAGCCGACGGGTGATGAACAGATAGCCGCCGGGAAAGCTGCTCAGTAAGACCCGCAACCAGAGCCTGCCAGAGACGCACCGAGGGCCGCCCAGATATATACTGATCAATAAGACCAGAACTGGCCAGCCGGAGACGTGTTGATAGCCGCCCGGAACCACCGGAACGTATCCATAGCCGCCCAGATAGCCGCCCGGAGAGCCGCCAGGAGACGTACCAAGAGCCGCCTGGAGAGACTGTTCGTTACCGACCGGAGAAAAGGTATACAGACTGTCTGTACAGAGTTGAGCCGGCCGGATAATTACTTTAGTAGTAGGCTAGTGTACTTGTTCACTTACTATACCTTAGGTAGGATGGCGTCCCCACAGTCAGACCAAGTGGCATTGCATCGCTTTCTGGAGGAAAGGTACCAGGAAATAACCAGGGAGATTGAGAAAACCTCACAGAGCATACTGGAACGCACCAGTAGTTTGTGAAAGACGGCACCTAGGACCAATAGAATAAAGCTAGCGGAGTCTACCAGTGAGTCTAATGAGCGTCATGAAACAGGTCATTCCCCACGCTAGATTGATTCCAGTGGGACAGAATCAATGAATGGTCGGCAACCATAAGCAGGACCAATTCAAGCATTGATGGGAACATCGTCCCTAAAAATACAGCTGCTGGACAAACAGAATGGACGGGAAGACTGAAAGACACAAGCCTTTTGTCCCCTCCTACCGTAAAAGAAGAAGAAATGTCCAAAGACAACGCCAGAGCCAGTAGACCAATTGAGTACCAGATTCGGTGCATGGGTTACAGAGATACAAGGTCACACTCCAGCCACCTGAGGGTTCATCGACACGTATGGACGGATCTGTAGCAATGGGTCATGTCTCCAGCGTCCGGAGAAAAGAGAATTCCATGCCAGAAGTAAGCAACATTAACTTGTAAAACATTTTGCCTGACAGGATTGGACATGAGCAGACAAAGTCAGAGCCAGCCAAAGCCAGTGCAATTTTGTCTGCACCAGCGATGTCCGCCAAGGACAGAAGCGATGTTTCCCCACCGGAGCCTGGAAGTAATGATGACAAGGCTATGATTGACCCAGAACCCCCTAAAGATAAGCCAACAGTGCCAAAAAAGAACGAGACGATGGTCAAAGCGGAGATCACTGACAAGCAGCCCGAGAGGAATCAAGGGCGGATCCAGAATACAATTTTTTGGGGGGGGTGGCCCAAAAAAAATTCGGTCCACCAAAAAAGTGGGTCAAAATTTTTTTGGGATTCTAGATGCTCTGTGGTGCGATCTGAGGCAACTTCTGACCGCTTTAACCAATGTTTTTTTGAGGAAAAGATGGTGGTGTACTCATTGTCTGCCTTTATTGCGATGTCACATAAAAAAATTTAAAAAATTGGTTTCGTTTGGGGGGGGGGGGGGCCATGGCCCCCTTTGGCCCCCCCCCTGGATCCGCCCTTGAGAGGAATAGACCGTTGATCAAACCCGACCGATATGATGGGAATTAGACATCATGGCCATCCTACCTGAAGCACTTTGAGTTGTGTTCAGAGCTCAATGGATGGATTGAAAAGGACAAATACAGTTTTTGGCAGTGTTGTTGACTGGCTCAGCACAACAAGTATTAGGTACAATGCCCAAAGAGTCAACTGGAGATTACCAGAAGTTAGTCAAAGCCTTGCAGGCACAAATTGACCCATTGGAAAGACAGGAACTTTACCGGGCTCAACTCCGAAAAAGAAGGCAGAAACCTGCAGAAAACCTCGTAGAAATGGCCGAGGAGATCAGACGACTGGTGCCATTTCCAAAGTACTAAGTGCGCGAATAATGGTCACACGAGGATAGATACGGACGGACGTTTACACACATCATAGTGATTGCATGGTCTCTTTCCTGTACTTCGTTCAGGCGAGACAATAAACTAAAAGCTGAAGTCACAGCAACGAGAAGGTTTAACCGGTGTAACCCTCTGGTGACCTTAAGTATCAGTATTTTACATTTGTCATTTTGTTTTCAACTTGACCGTTCCGCCGCTTAATGCCTCTGGTTCGAGTGCAATTATGGTAAAGTTTTGTGACCGTCCGTCACCATAATTGTTACCTTTGCGCTTTTCCAAGCTTACCTTATATTTCCGTCGTTGGTGGCGTATGTTAGATGGCTGCAGAGAATGTTGAACATCTCTTGCGCAGTGGTGATACCGCGGGCATCGAAGAGCTAGTTAAGAAATCAACACGAGAGCAGTACTACATGTATTGCATATAATTTATAACGCACATGAAAAGGAAAGTAAGGAAAATGGTGGCCATCGTTTCAAGGTATGAGGAAGTCCTAAAATTAATCCATTTCAAGTTTGGCAAAAAAGAACGATCATTTATGGACGGAACCCAGGTTCGCGCATGCTCAGTGACTGCCTCGCTTAAGACGCTGTTTGGTGGTATTTTTTTCTGTTTGGTTGTCTTTACTGGAATTATTACGAAATAAGCAGATCAATTGAGACATTGTCACTGATTTGTGTTTTGAAGGCTTTTCAGGTGTCAACACGATTGGGGTGAATGTCCACTTGAAGTCCGTGTATGTACAACACGTACATTACAACAAAAAAGGGAGTTCTCCCCCTAAAAAAACCCAAAAAAATAGCTATTTTAGTCAAAACTATTTAGGTGAAACGCCGGGAACAAAAACAGGGCAGTAAGTCTACAACAGAACTGATAGACCAAAGTATACCATATCCTATCCTGCAGACATACCAATTTGTCATATTAGACCAATACAATGATCGCGAGTAAAAGAGGTCGAGAAATGCTTTTGACTTCGTCCATTATTTTATGTACGATTTAGTTCCGTTGTTTGATGAAAAGGTTAACTCATACATAACATTTCCATTGAAAATATTTTTGTCTTTAGATTTTGAGCACTGTGTTGTTTCAAACGATAAAACTGCACAGATGACAAATAATCTATCCTACCCTAGTGGGTTAATGTAATGAAAGTTGATAGGCCTGCATAGAAAAAAAAATTACTCTGCCTATGGAAAATACCGGAAAAGTAACTGCCCGACTTGTAAATCGATCGTGTAAAATTGACCAAAACATTTTGTCGTCCCATGACGTCACGAAAAAAAAATGTTGGTCAGGCGTTTTCCGCTGTCCCCTGGAAAAATAGTTAACGTCATAACTCACAGTGACGTCAGAAACAATGTTCCAGGTCACGTCAAGGGCCGCCAAAACGTGGCCCGGCGGGTTAAGCAATGGTATCCTGTATTCGGTTCGTAAGTGACTGCGTCATACACGCCCAAGCACCTCTGATTATAGCCCCCATATCATTGGCTAAACACGCCACTTTGCACTACTTTCAGTTCTTTTGTACTACCGGTTCCTACTCCGTGTGTAGTGGGCGAGATTTAAGGTGAAATGACGTCACACTTACGAACCGGATAGGCCAACATGTACATATTGGAACTGAATAACAAACCTGTAGCTTGGTCCACTGAATTCGACCAATGCAACGCGGAGCGTTCCGCCAGGCCAGCTTGGCGCCATATTGCAGCTCTTGATCTGTAAGCTGGTACGATCCGGTTGAGGCGATGCTTTCTGTGATGGCGGCCAGGCGTTTAGCATGGGCGTCAGTCTCGGACCTACCAATGCATAACATGTAACCCAGTGTTGGTGTGTCTCATTACTATCCTTGCTGAATTCTCCAAATTAATATTTATTGGAGGCGGGGAGGTCTGGGTGTTGAGGGGGGGGGGCGGTCGTGAAGGTTTGGAGGCTATTTCGGTTGTGTGCACTAGGACTTTATTTAGGGAGGTTGCTCTCCCCGTGCCATTTTCAAGTTTTATCACTTAAAAGATACTTTGTTTTGATTTTTTTTCGAGCAATGCAAACGTTATTTACTTTGGAATGAGACACCGATAAAGCAAAATCTGCCAATTTTCACTAAGTCTTATAGAAATTTACTTTGCAAATAATTCAGGCATATCTTTTTGTGCCTTGTGGGCACAAAATAATGCAATCCCTCCTCCACCCGAAAAATTTAATATAGTTTGAAACATTTCCAGAATGAAGAGAGAGAAAAAATTGTGTTCCGTTTAACTAAAACATAAAAATTGAAAATTCGTTGTAATCTGATATTTAATGACGCCATCGTGACGTCACTACCAGAAAGTTCGAGAGCTATTATACACATATAACATGGTTTGTGGGGAAATAGTGAAAACTAATGACCCCGAGGTGTTGGATGATTGGGACTTCGCCTCGGGAGATTGTCCCAATCACCCAACACCTAAGGATCATTTGTTTTCACTATTTCTATTTTCCCGCAAAAAAAATGATGTATTTGTTTTAATATACCTCATAAATATTCATTACGCAGCTGCGGTATTTCATTGGTATACCATGTTTGTGATCGTGCAGTATTTGGATAAACTGAAACAATAATTTTAATTGAAGGAGACAAACAGAATAGAAATTTGTGTCATTTAACTTCAACATTCACGCAAACACTGGATTTATTTTTGAAAGTTGGAAATGCAACAACTTTAACAGATTTAAATAGAGCAGAGGCTGACACATCCAAGGCTGCAACCCAGGTGTGTGATAGTACCTCCCTGGTTTTTGCGCGTTACGTGCGCATACGAAGACGCAGGACAATAGTAAAAACTTTCACATGGTTGAGTTGCTTGAATGGACCAATGAAATGCCGCTGCTGCCTAATGAATATTTACAAGGTAAAGTATACAAATAATGAATGTTTGTGAGTGCAATGGTAAGTAAAATTTCATGAGGTGACAGATGAAATGTTCCATTCCACGAGGCGAAGCCGAGTGGAATGGAACATTTCATCTGTCACCGAATGAAATTATTCTTTCCATTGCACGAACGTGAAACATTCGTTATTTGTTTTATATAACACCTGTATAAATCCTTGTCATCTGATTGGTTGACTTTTGATAGCTATTCAGGTTGAAAACTGTTTAAAAGTTCGAAAAGTTCATCATATTTATATTAATGCAAACTATTCGACAGGTTGAGAACAACCATATTCAATTTATCAATTTATCTCGATTTAAAACAGCGCCACCAGCAGCAGCAGTGACAGCGTGCAATGGAAGTTCTAATCTAAGTGCAATAGAACTTCCATTGCACTGTGCGCTGCGCGCCACGCGCGCGCCGTGCGTTGGTACGAATAATTCAATGACATGTGATCAACGATCCTCCAATCAGATGACGGGGAATTATTCAGGTGTTGTATAATATACAATTATTGAATGCTTCGGGTGGTGTAGTAAAACTAGCCTCCCGAGGTGATCCATGGACATTCTATTTTCCCGAGGCGAAGCCGAGGGAAAATATAATGGTCCATGGATCACCGAGGGTGGCTAGTTTTACTTCACCACGAGATAAAGCATTCAATATTTGTTTTATAACACTTCACCCACAGATTCTGCTTGATTTTAATATTTTAAATTATCTAAATCTGAACACAGTTGAAATAAACTTCAATTTCAATACAAAATTGGTGGAAAATGTATTTCTCTCTTCCAAACTACCCCTTCACGAAATGTTTGAACCCAAGTCTGCGGCGCGCTCTCTTTGGAACAATACGCGCTACGCGCTACGCGCAACGCGCACACCAGCATCCATTTGCACACAAATACAGCGCTGTGGAAATAGTACTTTGGTTGCTAATGGTATAGTACTTTGGTTGCTACGGGTATAAGTACTTTTGGCCGTGCACAGAAAGATAGCAAAATTAGAAAGTAACATGTGACTCGCTCTCGGCCAATCAAGACACAGAATCTGTTGGTGAGGTGTTATAATAAATAATGTTAACTGTGCTATTTGCGGATAAAATATTTGAAGAGCACGGATAGAGAAACGTTAATGTAAAGTCGTTCTGGAATCGGTCGAAATGTTAATTCAGAAAGTGCATCAGCATTACTTGTTTGTTTTGCACAGCATCGAGCCATGCATTTCCTAACAAATACGCAAGGAGCATTATTGCAGCACTGATCTCTATTTAATGAAAATAATAAACAAAAACCTGGAATAGCTAGCCCATTGGCTAGACCTTTATCATGCTGCCACCATTTTACTCATGTTCCCTGTATCCACCGACAGTACTGAATGATAATTGGGGTTTTTTTTCCAAAAAGGAACCAGACTATTTTCCCTTCAAGGAAGTCTCGCTTTGGTTACGTTGATTTGAATGGGACAAATCACGATAGCCACAACATGATAATGGTTTAAAATTAAGTGAGGTTCGGGGAACAGCTTTGGACCTTCTGAAAAGTTATCTGTGTAACAGCAACCAGTATGTATCGTTTCAATCTGTAACTTCAACTAGCCGATTCATTACGTGTGGGGTACCTCAGGGTTCCGTATTGGGTCCTCTACTATTTCTTCTTTATATTAATGATATATGTAATACTTCAGACACTGTAACATTTTGTTTATTTGCAGATGATACAAGTTTGTTGTACACTCACGATAATGTAGATGAAGCAATTAGTAACCTAAATATGGAACTTGAAAAGATCAGTACATGGCTTCTTGCACATAAATTATCAATTAATGTCGTCAAGTCAAATTATATGATTTTTTGTGCCAATCAGTACAAGTACACATAATCTGTTCCTCTGAATTTAAATAACTCAAGGCTTCATCAGGTTAAGATAACTAAATTCCTGGGTGTAACTATTGATGAAAATCTCACTTAGAAACATCATATTGATGAAGTAGCGACAAAAATATCAAAAAACGTTGGAATAATGAATCGTTTGAAATATTATCTTCCGAGTAAGATTTTATTAACATTGTATAATTCATTTGTTTTACCATACTTAAATTACTCAATCTTGACCTGGGGCAGTTTGCCATCAAAGTGTAACAAATTACTTACTTTACAGAAGCGAGCAGTTCGTTTAATTTCAAATGCTGGCTATCGTGATCATTCTGCTCCGTTATTTGCTAAATTAAATATATTACAATGCAATGACTTATATTACCTTAATTTAGGAAAATTAATGTTTAAATTTAAGCATAATCTACTCCCGTCCTGTTTTTATTCTTGTTTTACCTTAGCATCTAATGTTCATGTATATAACACCCGAAGTAGTGCTAAGGGAAATCTGTTTGTCCAATTTAACAGGACGTCAATGTCAAAAAACAGTGTGATTCATCAAGGCACCTTGTACTGGAATAGTTTAGATGATTCTCTTAAACTGTTACCCTCACTATCTGTCTTTGTCAAAAATTTAAAAACTCATTTTATCGAATCATATTCGATATTCGATGTGCACTAATATTTAGGCCTTGTCTCACACACTTGTCCTGTCTGTCTACCGTTGTGTTTTGTTTGTCCCTTGTTACAGTACTTTGGTTGTATGTCTGTCCATAGGTAAGGGCACAAAAGCGTCTGCTTAACCTTATACCTAACTGTTGTCATTTAAATTACACTTTTTAGTAATCACTGTGTACATAACTGTCATATATATTACTACTGACCTTTCTTAATTTATACATGATTGTACATAATTGTAATGAATGACATCATTGAAATAAATGTTTCCAAACGTACGAGTTACAATTAAAAGTCAATCACCGTTTGATGGGCGCTCATGGCGGGCGCTCATGGACGGGTGCTTATGTATGGGTGTACCCCTGCATTAAAATTCCCATAGACACTAGTGCTAAATGCCCATACAAATGTACTTCAAAATTCTTTTAAAGATATAGTCCATCATTTGTAATTTGTGCATTTTGTTCGTTTGAAGCAACAAAAGTGTTCAAAATCTAATGAAGGATACTGAACAACTAACCTGATGAAGTTTCAGCTCAGCTTCAGCTGTATATTCCGAGAAAAACAGCATTCTAGGATCTCAATTTCAAATCAAAAGTTGCTGAATCATGTTTTGAATTGTTTTGAATTGCAGCTATACGCGATGTCGCGCACTGATCCGACGAATTATAGCAACAGCGCGCGCCTGTGCGTCGTGCCAATGCTTGCGCGCGCTGCGCCGAATATCAAATCGAACTACTTATTTAAATTTTCCTACGGTGCGTCTTAAGACGCACCGTTGGAAAGGCCTTCTTTCGTTGATTACTTCAAAATGATAGCTTGCCAGAAAGATTAATTTCACAGGGAGTTTAGTCCACTTACTATCTTTCAACCAAGTATGTTTTTCAACAATAATACGCCAGTTACTTGTTCGGATGGCTGCAAATGATGGACCATAGCTTTAAAAATGCGCAGAACTCTCACAGGTATTTATGCTGCACAGAAAAATGATGATCAACATGTCATCTTTCATTTTCTTTTCATTTTTTGATGGGTTGACCATTGACTTTTCGAGATATTCTCACCCAAAGAAGACGACCCCCATTTTCCCCAAAGCGGAAAAGTAGCTATCTTGAAAAACAATCACTCCACGACATGGCAAAATAGCGCCACTTTCGAGCCCTATTGCAGCCCAAAGCCCGGGCCAGAGGTTCATTGCCACATCTCTTCAATTCGCCCATTTTATGGCTCTCGGAACTATATAAGAAAATAATATAGAATAATTTGAGGGTATAACTTGTATTCATGAGCTTGCGCTCGGCGGATGGGTTTTGGCCTATTTACCGGTGTGCACCCGTATAGTGTAAATGCTGCAATTCTGGAGACCAAGCAGGGGGGAAAAGGACGCCATGTGTTCAGTGAGGCATGTCAGTTTACTTGAAGGGGACCAGGCTGATTAGGGTGAGGAAAGTGAGTTGGGTGGGTGCAGTGTTCCATGTTCCAGATGAGTTCAGCTTGATGCAGTGTGGGAATGTTTGACGACTGGTACAGAACACTATCCAAGTTTCCATAGAATTAACCCCAACTCACAAAAGATAATTCCTTTCACATGGTGCAATCGTAACCGTACATTTCTGTTGACTTGACGTGATTCTTAACAAATCCGGTTCGAAAGGCAACCATGGGGATTTTTGGTAACAAGCAAACCGAGTCAGTAAACGGTTTATTTTGGACAGTTTTGCCGGTACATGCCCCAAAGGTTTTCCCTGTATCGCCATTTTGCTGCCATGGTGACCCAAAGGAGCTGTTGAAACAGGGTACGTACTTGACAGTAAGTTATACTATTATAATAAGATGGAATTTTGCGTCGGGTGATACAAATCAAATCAAATTAGGTTTGCCCTTCACCGACGTTCAAACACTGTATACTCAGTGATTTATCTCCCGAGTGAAAGTTGGACAAAATCAATCAGGTAGGACTCAAACCCAGGACCTCCTGCTTTCAGTGCAGATGTCTTACCACTCGACCACCGAGCTAACGGCCAACCTATCCCGTTAGCTCGGTGGTCGAGTGGTAAGACATCTGCACTAGAAAGCAGGAGGTAGTGGGTTCGAGTCCCACCCGAGTGATTTTTTCCAACGTTCACTCGGGAGGTAACACACTGAGTATACAGTGTTTGAACGTCGGTGAAGGGCTAAACCTAATTTGATTTGATATAACACTTATCGAATCAGATTCGAAAAAGCCAACCGATCCCGTTAGCTCGGTGGTCGAGTGGTAAGACATCTGCACTAGAAAGCAGGAGGTCGTGGGTTCGAGTCCCACCCGAGTGATTTTGTCCAACTTTCACTCGGGAGGTAACACAACTGAGTATACAGTGTTTGAACGTCGATGAAGGGCAAAACCTAATTTGATTTGATATAAGTCTTATCGAATCAGATTCGAACCAGCCAACCGATCCCGTAAGCTCGGTGGTCGAGTGGTAAGACATCTGCACTAGAAAGCAGGAGGTCGTGGGTTCGAGTCCCACCCGAGTGATTTTGTCCAACTTTCACTCGGGAGGTAACACAACTGAGTATACAGTGTTTGAACGTCGGTGAAGGGCAAAACCTAATTTGATTTGATATACTATTATAGTAACATTTAAAAAAAAAATCATCTGCCTGGCATAAATACGGAACCCCCGATGCGATTAAGATTTTGCAATCGAATCCGAGAATGTTTAGGTTTTACAGGCAGTTGACGAATGTGCCTGAATGTATTAAACCCGTTAAATTACCAATAGAAAGAAGGAAGCATCATGTTACCTTTTGATGTGCTTGTAATATTGATCAATGAAATCCTGAGCGTGGCTGAGTACGTCCTGCGGTGGGCGGGGTTGTGTGTTGGTCCGCACATTAGGGAGCATGAAGGAGCCCTTGCATCGTGTTTCTGAACAATGCGATTTAGCCTACGAGGAAAATAAAACCAACTTCATATTATGTGAGCAGATGCAACTCATGAAATACATATTGTTTGGGAAACTCATGACGGTTTGCTTTTTTTGTCCGACTCGACGGAGCTTCAAATTGTACGCCCAACGCACCATGTTAGCTCGTTTCGAGGCCATTAGTCTTTGTTTACGTAAAATACTTATCTGTGCTATATTGTCCTAAATTCCGAAAATTGCACTTATTGCAAATAACGATGGCCGCTCAACCTCGTCCCCAGTGCTAACTTTATTTCCAACCTGGTTTCCAATAGTAAGCCCTGGATAGGAAGCTTTCTTCCTGTATCCTGATTTTATATTCGCTCGTACACCCCCCCCCCCCGGCCTGCAAACAGGACGCTGGTCAGGGCTGACGTCATTTGAGCTCTCATTAGATAGATTTGCGTGACCTGTGACGTAGAACGCGTCACACAAACTAGCTTCCGGTGCCCATCATGCGTAGCGCGCGCTAGCTGCATGCGAAGGTCAATCTGTACTTCCTTCACAAGTTTCTGTGAAGCCCATCATCAGCCCTTACCAGCGCCCTGTTTGCAGGGCGGGGGGTACGAGCGAAGATTCGATATTGCGATCGGCTAGTAATGGATTTTGATTGTGTACTTGGTGTTATTATTCACAACGTGCAGTACGAGTTTTCGCGATCATTCGTCCACGCCTTCTCGAAAATACTAATTTCCTTTCCAATTTGTTCATATTAATATGAAATGTGATACTGCATGTTGTCTCGAGAAGATCGTAACAGTTTAATTTTAAAAAAAATCGTGTTTTCGTAACTCACACCGTGCCCGCGCTGCGACGAATTGACCCTGTTTTTACCCCAGACACCGCATACAAAAACAAACGCTAATGTAACGCATATCCATATCCAGGCACCAGACTATTGCTCATTTGCATACGTGTTCAAAAATCTTGCACATGCAAATGATAGCAGGTAGTGATGGGTGCGTACTGTTTGACACCCTGGAGACGAGGTTGATGGCCGCTGTCTTCCATTCGATTTCTTTGTACCGGCTGAATTATACGTGCAGGCTTTGAAATTCCAAAATACTATATCCAGACGTGCGCGTATGTTAATGCATTGAATGTTCTTCACTGTAAAACAAATCCGTAGTTTACACATATTTTGGGAGAGATCCACGCTTTAATTGATCGTTAACAGCTGTTTTGATGTTGAAATTACAGTTCTCAAGTAACAGAATCTCGTTAATCACAACGTTAAAATTTGCACTTTGTAATGCGTAGATTTTACGGTGTCCGGGGCTCCCAGGGAGAACAGTTCATTTGACAACTGATGGGGCTACCCTGGTAAAATAACACGAAATAAATAAATAAAGTATCCGCACTTTTGACGGCCTTCTGTCTATATTCCTCGAGCCTTCCCGAGAAAGGACAAGCTTAATACATGAATTTCAAGTAAAATTTGTTGTCATTGCCAGTGTTGTAGTCGAGACCGGATAGTCCGAGACCGAGACCAAGACCGAGACCTGAAGATTCGAGACCGAGACCGAGACCGAGACCAGCCCCTTCAAGGCGGACCGAGACCGAGACCAATATGGTCCGAGACCGAGACCGAGACCGAGACCGCTGATAATAAATAACAATAGTCGAAATAAAAAAAAACAAGACACGTTATTATAGTTGAAAAATGTAACCTTTCTATTCACAAAGAATACAGACCAAAATTTTGACCAGTGGCAGTGTTGACAAATTGATACATGACACCTTACTTGAGCAAAAAGTAGTTACACTTAAGAAATATGGGCTTTGACATGTTGTCTAACCCAATCGTGACAAAAGTAAAAAGTTAAAGGCAGATGCTTCTTTATCTGTTATAGGAACTCGGATCCTAAACTCCACAGTCACCCCCTTGGTTTCAGCTATGACTTCTAACGGATATTTAAAGATGCAATTTTAATTTTACATTGCCTCTTTTTTCCTAAAATAAATTTAGGACTTAACTTCTAACAAGACTTGTGTACTTGATTTTAAAAAATGGGAGCTAGAAAATGTTGAATTAATTTTTAAATTTGTGTCATAGAATGTGGACTTGTACATGTAGACCCACAAGTTGCGAGGTGGTAGCCAGAGTGTGCCAGATATTGATTTTTAATTTTTTTATGAACGGGACTTTTAATTTTTGAGGAATATGGGGTACTTTAAAATGAGCAGCCAGAAAATGGGGTCTCATCATACACTCTCATGGCAACAGTGAGTGGTAACTGGTAAGAGTGTGTGAGCTCAAAGCTGGAAAATCAGGTAGAAAAATTTACTTTTTCTTCAAAATACTGTCCCAAATTAAAGAGAACATTGTGTGGGGTCGAAAATATAACTAATTTGAAGCACCTCATTTATTATCAGAATACACAATGCAAGTGATTACGCCCACAGGGGTGGGCTAAACTACACAATCCCCGAAAATGGTTGACCCTTATTGCATAAATTGTTACAAGTTTATACTTTGCTTTATGTGGCCGACTCAACAGATAAATGCCGAACTTGTTCCAAATCGTTTAGTGACTGGTACTGCTGCAGCTTTACATGTACTTTGGGGACTTTCCAACGTGCAGTCGAGTCCAAACCGACCGCGATATATAACAAGCTTGATCTACGGGCTAGCAAATGTTTTAAATAACAACGGTACTGAACGAAGTGAACACAAAGTAATCGATCGAGCTGTAAAAGCTACATATTGCCGGTCTCGACCCGAGACCAGCCAAAATATCGAGACCAAAGGGGACCGAGACCGAGACCAAGACCGAGACCACAGCTTCCGAGACCGAGACCGAGACCGAGACCAGCAAAAAGTGGTCTCGAGACCGGTCTCGAGACCGAGACCGGTCTCGAGACCTACAACACTGGTCATTGCTGCTGGGATGTTATACAAAACAAATAATATTTGTTTTGCATTCGTGCAATGGTGAGAATATTTTCTGAGTCGAAAGATGGAATGTTCCATTTAACTCGGCTTCGCCTCGAATTGAATGGAGCATTCAATCGTTCAACTCATGAAAATTTTCACACTATTGCACTCATAAACATTCATTATTTGTATTTTGGGGTGCTGTGGTCTTATGGTTACGGTGTTCGACTCGTGTGCCGTGGGTTCGAATCCTGACCGTAGGAACATGGTGCTCTTGAGCAAAGCACTTTACCATTATTGCTTTGTCCTTCGGATGGGACGTAAAGCCGTAGGACCCGTGTGTTGTGTAAATGCACGTTAAAGAACCCAGTACCACTTATCGCTATAAGAGAATGGGTTTGCCCCGGTGTTTCTGGCCGGCAGTGGCTGCTACGGTGGCCCACAACTGTCACGGCAAGAACAAATTCGCCACGGCAAGAGCAATACTTCAAAATTCTTTTATAAATACTCAGAAATCTCACAGGTATTCAAGCTACACAGAAAAATGATGATCGATGTGTCATCTTTCATTTTCTTTTCATTTTTTGGTGGGTTGACCATTGACTTTTCGAGATATTCTCACCCAAAGCAGACGACCCCTAATTTCCCCAAAACGGAAAAGTAGCCATCTTGAAAAACGATCCCTCCACAACAAAGAAAATAGTGTTTATTAGGAAGGGGCGTAATCATACATGTCGCCACTAAATTTTAAGTTAAATGGAATGGAGTTTGGCCGCCACCATGCATTTAAGGTTTTTTTTCAGAAGTGGTTTTCTGACTAAGAAAATAGCAAGGAAGAACCGGTTTTGTGCGAGCAAAAGTCAGTTGATACTAATAACTTGTTGGAAAATTCCAAAGTCATTCCAAGAAAGTTGCCGAGGTGAATTAGGGTTTAAAAGGGGGAGGTTGATGGGATTTGCTATCAGCATCAACCGGGCCGTTCCTCATTCTTTTCTTTTCATGGGATGTAAATCAAATTGGAGGACGAGGGGCTCTGCGATCTGATGAATCTTTTTGAAAACATTGTACAGTATTTGCAACCAGCTAGGGAAGATTTCCGTTTATTCAAGACTTAGAAGCACTGGTATGGATACCTGTGTAAGTATATGACTAAAGTGCCTAGAGCGTATTTGTTAAAGTTTTTTACCTTTTTTGAAATTTAACACACATATAGGGAGTAAAATCAGTTCCACTGCTGGGTTGCGGTGATGGGTGGGTTAGAACTTGTCAACACATACCTCGCCAGCGGGCCCATTAGATTGGTGATAACCAGAGAGCGGGAGTTTCAAAAAACTCATCCGGTGTTTAGGCGACGCAGGGACTGGTTTGTGTGCATGTGGTTTTTGTTTCTAGTTAACTTAATGATTTGATTTATACCGGTGATAAAATGCCGTCCCACCTGATTTTCTTTTTGTGTGTCGGGGGAAACAGTGCATATTTTCTGTGCCCTTTTTCTGCACTTCATCAGTCACCCTTTGTTTAATTATTTCATATGTATTTACTTTATTGCTAATGATGGTAAAGAATATTTTACGCGTTAGCAATTCTTGCAATGATCAGACTAAGTGGATTTCTTATTTTTTATTTTTATTTCGAAATCCATGCCTAAATGACCATTATGTTAGTTCTGTTCTTCAAGAAGTTCCAATAGGATTTGTACGTTCTCCTCATCCAAGTTGTTTTCTTGGTTGGATGGTGGAGATGGGTTAATCCTTGATCGGACCAGGCCGCCTTTTATGGGTTTTTTTTGTCGTTTGTATGCCAGGATGGGTTGGGTCGCAAAGAGTGCACTGAGAAAGTCATTATCGCTGATCAGATTCCAGTGTTTCAGAAGGGCCTGCTTGAGAGCAAATTTCTGCAATAAATTGTGCAATATCGCAGAAATAGGCGCAAAAGTGTGAGACAAAATGTGTAATATCGCAGAAATGTGCAATAAAATGTGCGATATTGCAGAAATCTGCGCAGAAAATGTTCGAAAAAAAATTTGCGACATCGCAGAAATCTACGCAGAGATCTCGATGTGTGATGTCCTTTCAGGGCCACCATAGTTTCCCCTCTGCAGTAT